CCAAATATTTATGAGGAAATTAAAGCCATGCTGATTTGCATGTCTTTTCAGTTGCTTGTGTTGCTTTTAAAAATGCCTTGTTAAAATTCAAGTCAGTGGGTTAGACATTTTCTTTGTCTGCACGTTGTTATGATTGAGTAGCACTATCGAAGAGAGAATAAAGATAAAAAACAGGGCAGAAGGGAAAGTGCAGGGAGATGTTGTTCAGTTAAGTAATGTCTAGACCAGCTCCGACCTGATTCTCACACAGAATAATGATGAGCTCAGTAGGACTTTGAGGCAGACCTGAGATTTATAACAGCCAAATCTCGAAACCTCCAAACTCCTTGTAGTGTCATTTGGCTCTGTTCTTGTCCTGACAGCCCCACTGGACACCTCTGTGATGCAAAACCAAACAAACATGGAGTCACTAAGCGCTGACCTTCTTTTTGACTTTTTATTCTTGTAGCTACTGCGACTTTTCACTTTGTATTTGCAATGGTATATTTGGATCTGTAAATTTCACATGATAGTTAAAAAAGTTCATACAGCTGCATAGTTCGAAGATGCATAAAATCTAAGAGGGTGTAATATACTGTGCCTGTATTATTGATTTATTAAAAGCTTTAACCAAAGATTGGCCATTGTCACCGTCCATTACATTTAATATAAGCCAACAAACTGTTCTTAGTCTCTAAAACACAATGGCTTATTTTTTTTATTTGTGATTGTATTTACCCATAAATGTGTAGGTTACACAGGTAGGTTATTGTACATTTACTTGAAATTTTAATCATATCTTAAATGAGTTAGAACTGTCAGTTTGACAATATTTGGTTTCTGCCAAACCTGTGTTTATATAATCCATCTTCCCCCAGACCCATAATGGCGGCGTACAGAGGTGCCACGTGCCCAGTTTCTTTAAGTCCTTTATCTGAAGGATAACGACCAGTCCCACCGAATATAAATGAGTGTCCTTGTAATAATTTTACTATCAATTGCCTTACCTTTAAACTGCATCTTAAAAATATTCCTACCAACTTGTTGAGGACATTATAAATGGGCGGTGGAGGTGGTGCCACAGCAAACCTGTTGGTGTGCATTCTAATGTGTTACTTAAGTCTGGCTGTTTTTTATGTGGGACTGTGGTTCACACATGTCCATTAGCTAGCAGCCATTAATCATGTTAGACTCTGGCCCTGTCTCCTTACCTCATATTTCTACTCAGTCAACCATAAACAAAGTACTCTGTCAAAGACTTCAAAGTCACTTACATTTCACCCCTATCATCTCCCAGCTACGGGCCGTCTGCTCTATACTGTAGCAAGCTTTTTCATCGGCACTAACAGAGCGCTGCCCTTGTGAAACATTTGGAAGGGATACCTTAGTGTGTCAGCAAAGCAAAGGTGATGATCGGAAAGGTTATGCTAGTAAAGCACATCCATACTATTGTTGTTTCATCAACATCGTGTTTATTAATATTAGCAGCATTATAAGTTTGTAGCCAGTATAAATACAGAGCCTATGTTTGTGCGATGGAGATAATAAAAGATGATATTGATGGCTCTGTTTATTGGCTTCTAATAATAACTTGGTGACATGTTTTCTTTTTCCCAGCCTAATCATTCACACATTGACAACTAGGACTGGGTATTGCTAAATACCTCACCATAAAGTATACACAACACAATACAATACAATACATATCCTGATACATGAACATCCCCAAAAATTATGTTAAAAGTTTACTAAATTTATATTTTTATTATGTAAAATAACAAACTGTTTTGTAATTTCATATTCACAATGCCCTTAATATCAGTATACACCTGTCTTATGGACAAGTCACCTTTTAAGCCCAGCCGATTTAGCCTTAATGCCGTAATAAGCAGGTACTTTTTAATGATTTCATCTTCACTGTACAACACTCTGTACGTATTGCTGTCACTTATATACGGCTGTATCGATATTTTGAGTACAGCCCTAACAAATAACTATAGGCTTAAGCAGTTTAAGTTTTACTCATAATTCATGCTGGAGCTAAATTATTGTTCTAATAGGTGTTTGTATTGCTGGCTCGTCTCTAAATGATCTGTAACTTGGCATCCATAAAAATAAATACAGTATATTTAATGGAGACAGACGGGTGGCAGACCCTCCACCAGAGAAGTTACACAGTGCACTTTAACAAAAACACCTTCTTTCTATGTGCTGTATTTGTTGTTATTGGTAACGCTAACGTAGCTTTGTCCTTGCTAACGTGTAGAAGATATCCGTCCATGTGTCAGCAAAGCAAAGGTGATGATTGTAAAGGTTATAATAGTAAAGTGCACTTTTGATGACATTGTTTGTGTGTGACCTGATTCGGCGAAGAACAGATGATGCGGGGACATTGCCTGCTGGTACCTCATACATCACTGTCTCTAACATGTATGTCCACACACAAACACACAGGCTCACATAAGCGCCGCGTGACCCTTAGCGCCCCAAAAGGAGAGAGATGTCTACAGTTTGACGGTGTGTCCTCCCCTCCTGCTGACCTGCCAGACACTTCCACGCATGCTCACCATCTCCGAGTTTTTCACAGTCTGTTACATCCGCTGTGGCTTGGTTGGAGATTTATAATTGAAGTAGCGGAAGACTGTTACCCTTCTTATTACTGTATTATTGTACCTGCCTCGCCTCCACACACACGCAGCCACACAAAGCTCTAAAAAGTGACCTTCGACGGGGAGCAGAATGGGGCTGTCAGTCAACAGCACAATCTAATAAGGGCCAGACAGGATCCTGCAGGAGAAATTAAGGACTGAGAATCCAGGACAAAACAGTGTCTTACACTGGGACAGCAAGACACTGTGAACTAGTGTTGCCACAGCATAAACATTTCAAACTCCATAGTGATTTTGATGCCATAATTATAAAAAAAAGCCTCTTTTTTATAGGCTTTAATTTCTTTATGTTACCATATGGCTTTACCATGTGGCCTAGAATACTAGTTCTGACAAAGGTTAAGGGCAGAATGTAACTTTCTGAAAGTAGCACGTCAACTGCATAATTCAAATGCAAATTGAAAGTTAAAACCATACTTTAGTTTCAGATATTGATCTATTTCCTTGGAACATTCTCCGAAGAGATAGATCAGTTTTGTGCCATACTGTGGAACCTTTATAGCCAAAGGACAGTCCAGGAAAACAAATCTCAGAGTAAGGATGCATGTGTTTATTGTTTTTCAGTGCAAAAAACCTTTAAATCTTTTTGGTCAGTTTTTTTGTTAAAAAGTTACACTGTGGCCACTGTGGCCTTAAGCTTGTTTTTGTATTGCTACTTGCTCAACTGAGTATCTAGTTCCTACTTTTATTTTATTTTTTGCACAGTCTCTGTTTTTGTATATGTTTGAAAACCCTGCTGTGAACCACGGAGTTACATTTAACAAAACTATCTTAACTGTACTGGAGCAAAAACAGTGTAAGATTAACAACCTGATTTCCATCCAGTTAAAATCAATATAATTTTACACCAGATGCCCTTCCTAGTGGAACCCATTTATGGACTTATGAAAGAAACCCAGAACGCTTGTTAACCCTCCAGACTATATTTTTATGCTAAGATAAAAGACAGCCTAATGGGATGTAGATGGCATAATCTGCATGTATTTGTTATGCGCAGCAAGGTTTGGCTATTTAGAGGCCAGTGACACTCATTAGACTTATTTATTTTAGCTGTAAAAGTTTTCTGCTGTGTCATGCTCATAGTTTGGCCAATAACACCTTGTTTGCACAACATAACTAATAACTGTAGTTTCCATTTTTGCTTTTAGTCCCACATCTGAGCATCCCCTTCATTTTCTCCTTGACTTGCAGATTTTATAATGAAGCCAAAAGAAAAAAAGAGGAAGAAGAACTCACAATGTGCACCATTACTGTAATAAGACATTTTTATCACTTGGGCTCACTGAAGATGTTTGCGTGTGGGTAGATTATATTTACTGACCTTGGCAATGTACACATGTGAATTATTAGAATTGATGCTGGCACGGTCCAAGCATGTGTTTCTTCTTGGAGGTGATTTGCCCATCCCTCTTGACTGCCAGGGCACAAAGGCAGGAGCAGTTTAATCAGAGAAGGATACGTGTATTGAGCAGAGAGAAAAATATCATGACTGACTGAGGTCGGAAATAGGAAAGGTCCCAAAGGGAGCAATGGAGAATTACTTTAACACAAGGTGAAGTGGCTACTGGAGATCAATATGCAACTGGCAGCAGGGTGGAGGAGAGCAAAGATGGTATGAGCAGTGGGTATAAAGGAAATTGACTTGTTTACAAACTTTAAAATAAATGGAATTACGCATGTTATTGTTTTGAGATGCAAATGTGTCCTCTTTGTTTTTTGAGTTATCTTTTTACTCATATTCATCAAAATTAGACTATTAAATGAAGCTATATTTAAGATTTTTAATAGTCTAGACCTTTCTAAATCTCAGGAAGGGTCCGATTTTGTCATGTTTATGTGATTTTTTTTCAGTATTATTCAATCTATGGCAGCCCCAAAGGCATTGAAAGATGGGTCAAATGCAGAGGACTAATTTTTCTACAGGGACAAAAAAGTGTGCCTTAACCTAGTTTCTTTAAAGGTGATTTTCACATTCCAGAATGTGATAATGTTATACTCCCAGACGGGGGGCAAAAGACAGTTTTCCCCATTGATTACATTGTAATCTTTTGTTTTGCCATGTAAAATCCAAAAGGTAAAGTCATAAATCATGTCTATTTGTAACTAGAGCCCAAAATTCACTATATCACAACAAAGATTAGCATTTTAACAATATTAATTTTAGCTTTCCCCCATCTATATTGAATATTATTGGCCTATAGAACATTGTGATGTCATCTGAAACCCAGCAGTGGTTTCAGTTAGTATTTGTGTATTCATTCCTTTGCCAGCTCTACAAGAGCAGAGGACCTATCTATTTGGTTCTCATTCCATTTTAATATAATAAAAGTATGTGTCTGTGTTATTTTGCAGGAGATGTTCACACCAGAATGCAGGTTCAAGGAGTCTGTTTTCCAGAACTACTACGTGATCTACTCGTCCACTGTGTACCGACAGCAGGAGTCGGGCCGGGCCTGGTTTCTGGGCCTCACAAAAGAGGGGCAGGTTATGAAGGGCAACAGGGTGAAGAAGACCAAGCCCTCTTCACACTTTGTACCCCGGCCCATTGAAGGTACAGTACAAGTACACAGTCATTTTAGCTTTGCCTTTACTCATAACAGTGTTGCTGTCTCTGTTGATATTTTTATAACATTTCAGAGACAAAATCCTGGATACTTGGAAAAGGTCAGACTTTAGAACGTTGCCATTTAGCAATTAACTATCAGTAATTACAATGCCCCTTTGCAGCGATCAATGGTATCTATATTTGGCTCTGGAGCTGAAATGAGTACAATGCAAATTAGCTTTTTTCTCCTACCAATATGCAAACTCATTATAACATACTGTAAAAGTTTAGTGTTTAAGTTTCTGCCAAAGTCACAAGATTATTTTTTACTTTATAATATTAAAGTACAAAATTGCACTATAACATAAATTATGGGACAATTGATACATTCTATACACAAAATCAAACATTTATACAAATGCAATTAATTAATTAATTAATTAAGTATTATGTAATGTTAATTTAGTATTATCATGTAAATGCTTTTACTATTTGTCTTATAAGCTTTGCAAGAAAGGCTAGACTGATGAAATAAGGAAAGATGCACTAGTTACTCTATTACTTAATTGGTTTCCTCAATTTTCATTGTCAGCAACCCATGTATATGGATGTAGAATCCATTCACATGAATGAATTTTACTGTGTTTTACAGCCATCTTTTCCATTTGCTCGGGCCTTGTGTAAAGGACATAATCATCAAACTCAGTCAAGCAAAGCGCTGACATGGTTCTAATCCTGTATATTGTCTCAGTCTTTAATCAATTCTTCTTGCTATTCCCTCTCTCTTTTTGTCCCCTCTCTTCCCCCTTAGTTTGCATGTACCGAGAGCCGTCGCTGCACGAGATCGAGGACAAGCATCGGTCCAGAAAGAGCTCAGGGACTCCCACCATGAATGGGGGGAAAGCTGTCAATCAGGACTCCACATAGCAGCAATGAATACGGGGCTTCCAAGGCACTGAGCAGGGGGACTGGCTTTTGACTTTTGGAGAAGGAAACTCAAGACGCTTCCCCCCCAAAACATCACTGACTCTGAAGAGGAGTGATGCTGTACCAACCCTTAAAAAACTGATTCCTTGCCTGTGAAAACCTTTTAGATTTATGAATATGATAACAGACATTGTCAATCAGGACATGACATTTTATGCAAAAAAGTGGCTGTGGTTTCTCTTCACACAAATATCTATCATTTCAAAGTTATGCTGTGAAAATCAAGCTTTAAAACTTGGAGTTTGTTTTCCCTCATATGCTTAGTTATGTTATTGATTATGATCCCGTTATCTTGACTATGATATTTTTGTGGTTTATTTTGATTGATCTTATCTTAAATGCACTGTCTCGCTTGCTCCAGTGTGAGGGTAAAGACTGAATGTATCCACTAGGACTGGGTTTCGGAGTGCTTACGTGGGATGTATTTTATTCAGATGTTTACTGTAAGTTTGACTCATATGTGACAAATAGGGCTGCCTCCAAAATCACTGAATGCTGTCCTACGGTGTGCCGTGATAGGACAAGACTGATACAAGCAATATAGGAGAGCACTCTAGTATGTTTCCAGACAGTGTTATCAATCCAGCAGCATGTCTGTGGTTGTCTGCTTGCATCGAAGACAGGTACAAGAAAGTATAAAGAGAAATGTTGTGGTATAACTTCAATATTCTATAGTGCTTTGTGAAGATTATTCTATTTTAGATATATAGATGTCCAAACGTGACCAAAAATGGCTTAATGTATGGAATAATCTATAACAGGGAGGAAGAGAAAGACCAGCATCAGCACTATGAGCCATGGCCTCCACTGGTCACTCCATAACTGCACCTCAAGTTACACAGACCCAGCTAAGCTATCAGAATATCAGAATATAACTATATAACATGCTTTTACAAATATGAACATAAACGTAATATTTTAAAATGCTTGAAAGAAATTATTTTTGGCAAAGTTGTAGAAGAAACTGGATTCAGTGTATATGTGTTCCTGTTAATGTGAAAGAGAATTATCAACACTGGTGGACAGGGTGAGACTGTTTAAATATCTGATTATTTTTCATCACTGTTGATGTCTCACTAAAGAGATATCTGGTTAATTAGGATGTACCATCCCAGTAATACGTATTTGTATTCTGTATTCTCGTGCTCCATACATCCTTCATTTCCTGGTTTTCTGACCCATGAAATGAGCCATTTGCTGCTAGTGTAGGAGGCGTGTTCATAAATCACACTGACAGGGCTGTATAAACAAGGTGAAGCGACTGGTACATGGTGGTACTCCATGTATGCTGCAAAGTGTATCTAATGCCCACTTAGTTCATCTAACTCAGGAAGTTCTGTAACTGTTCCATGAATGGGGCCAGACTAAAGACTGGCCACTCGCTGGTGATCCAGCACCCGTTGCACAAATCCTGGCCTGTGTTGCGTTCACTGATGTCAGGATAGCGTAGTTTTCTTAGTTAGGGATACTGTACAGCTAAACCTAACCTGGTTAGGAAGTCATTACGCATGAAGAATGCATGTATTGTAAATGTATCATGAGGTGGCAACTGGTAAAAGATTTGCAAATAAATAGTTCCAAACTTTTTATGCAACATTTTGATCAGTCTTTTAGTGAGCATCGATACCTGTGTGGTGTCTGGTTATCATTTTGTAGGTTGGTGGTGTGTACAGAAATAGCACATATTCATCTGCACAGAGCCACATTAAATCATCAGCGATCTGGGAGGACAGGCCCACACCCACTCACACATACAAGCAACCAGTCAAAACAACCGAGCAGCCGAGCAGTGACACATGCAGCATTACTCGACATTACAGAGTACACAGGCCAGACCAGCATATATCTTTTATAGAGGTTTATAACGGTGCAAATGAGATGTGTGTGGATTCAAAGCAATGCATGAAATTGGAAGAAGTCAATGTGGACAGTTTGACAGTGAGAGTGCGAGAAGTGATGGCTAAAGCCTGGTGTTAAAAGAGCTGAGGTGTAAAAACGCACTCACAAAGTAGAGCAGCACTTTTGAAGGGTTTATTGATGTTTGAAAGGAAGTGAAGGCCATGGTTGTATGTGTATGTGTTATTTATTCTTTGTTTGCTGATGATTTCACAGCATCAGAACATGCTCATATATGCATTATGAATTGTGAGATGAAATTAAAATATGCATTGATTATATGATCAGAATGACGTTAGTGATTGTTTAAGAATAAAGAATATGTTATCAAAACTGTGCATTTGTTGTGATTGATTTGAGTACTTACTGCAAAGTACTTCTATTGTCCTCTGGGCTTTTCAAATTCACATTGCATTCCTTCTATCAATTCAACAGTTTTGATTTATCTCTTTGCCTTTCCCCAAAATCCAATATGCCATTTTAGGATGTCTATCCTTTTTCGCCCTTAATTCTCCTGTTGTTATGGAAACAGACCGACGGTGTCTAGTAGGAGAGAGAGGAGGAGGACAGGGATGAAGGTTCCCCTGACTTTTGGCTGTGCAGTGTGATGGCGGCAGCATTTCACCTTTTTCACTCAAATCAATCTTTTCAGAATTATTTTCACTTCCCTTTTTGTGGTAAGGACTGCTCATTCTCAATCCCCAGTGCATCTCTCCACTGTAACTTTCACCACAGCGCTTTATGAGTTTCTCCGTCCCAAATGTAAACTCAACATGATAGCTCAATAAAAAATTTAAGCTCCAGCGCTCATTCTTTCCTGTCAGCCATTTTTGCCCACACATCATATTCACCTAGGTCTAAAATGAGAAGCAATTACTGTTAACCTGCAAAATACCATCTAGTCTATTATTTAAAATTGATATCCCTGGATATGTGGTATTTGAGTTTAACATTTAGCAGCTGAGAATTTAAAAGTCACATTTTAATACAAAATTACCACAGAAATAGTAGTTTGTGACACTAGTGCAGTAATATTAGGAGCAACATCAGGGAATGTTGTGATAAAATGCTTACTGTTATTATAGAGAAGGTCTGCAATGCTTGTCATCAGTTCTTTGGAAGCAAAAAAGACAGCAACATGCAAATGGTCTATGAAAAATTGAGAATATATCACACAAACTAAACCACCACTAAAGGATATGGGTGAGAGCAATACCACCATTCCATTCTAAAATACAGACTTTAATCCACGCACAAAGGGTCGATCCACTTGGCTGTTATAATGTGACACAATTCACATCTTACACAGTTCAACAAATACTAATTTCCTTGGTTTACTCCATAGGTAAAGTAACATTTTCACTGTGGATCAAGAACATTTGTCTATGGCCAGGAAAATCAGGTAACTAGAAAAATCAGATAAGCCAATACCGATAATTAGATCTGATTTTGGCGTGTATTTACATGCAAGAAAAAAACTTACAACAATGGAGTATCTGTTGTATTTGAATGTATTTTTCTTTAACTCTTTTAATATTTTACATTTTATCATTTAAGCGTGTCTTTGCCACATTTGTTTGTTTACAAAATCTACATGGGTGTGAACAATCAGAAAGAAACCGGATTACTCTCAGAAGATTTCGCTGTTTGCAGACATTTCAATAATCTGATAACTCTAGAAATCAGATAATGATCAGATTTCGCATGTAAACATAGAAACTGAGATGAGGTATTTTTCTTTTCTGAACAAGTAACATGGGTTTCTATTTTTGGATGGTGTTGATATCTTCAGTGTTCTGCTCGAATGTATTATAGCAAAGTGAGTCTAAGGCATTTCTCTCGCTATTGTCTTTTGCTTTGTTTTGGATGAGTCCTTTTGGGAATCTCTGTTTTCTGTAATCTAGCCTTGCAACAGTTCTAACCAACCCCTTCCCTTAAAGTGGGGCATTCAGATTCTTCTCATTAAAAATAATTGGAGTGTGTTCAATTATAACTCCATGATCCTCCTTTGATCTGGCGTGGCCTAAGTCTCATATCTGCATCTGTTACATCTGTATAAAGCACTAAGAAGGAATGTGAATACCACTTTCTAACGCTGTATGGGAAACAGGTCTCTGAGCCTTTCCCTGGACTGCCAATTTCTGCGGCAAGGTATAAATGAGGCACCCACGCACCCAGTGAGCCCACTCAGCCTGCTCCTATCCCACACTCTACTTTTACAGTGGTGAGAGCCTCTGCAGTATAGGAGCATGTGAATATGCAGGCTTCTATTACTAAGTGAAGCAGAGACCCTCAACATAGCCCAGGGACAGAAAAGAACAGCTCTATGGCTTTAATCACTTTACGCCTTTGCATTCACATCATAATCTGACTTCCCCCCCAAACATTTTATCCAATTTTATTTCTATAACATTCTCCGCTCTCATTTCCGAGCTCTGTTTTGGTTCACTTACTGGCTGCCATAGCTGTCCCCAAGGTCTTAATGTATTAAAAATGTAATAGTATTTATAGGTTTTAAAAGTTTTACTTTGTGTACTTGTAAAAATATTCATTTAAAAATGTGAAAGGAGAGAATGATGGACTATGTGAGAAAATGTTGAGGAGGATAAATGTAAAGGATGAAGTGACTGAGCTATGGGACTGCAACTGTTTAAATGTTTAAATGTGAATATTTCAGTGTAGCCCTCACTGTTTGTTTGATTGTTTGTTCAGTAAGACATATAAGTATACATACATGTTGTTTTGATCTGGAATGTACTAATATATTATCGAGCAGTGCTTCTCTCATGTGACTGTTGCTGTTGCCCTGTTTAGTTAGGATTTAGAACTATTTTAATTCTGTTGTAAAATTGATTCCTATTGCTGATATGAGAGAAAGCTGAATGAGTTTCTTACTTTGGGTTGCCAGATTCTACTACTAAAACCAACTTATTTTTTTGCTCTCAATACAGTATGTGTCATCCCTGTTTAAAGAGAAGTGCCTGCTTGTCTCCATTAAAATGTTATTACTTTGCGTGGAATGTTCCATGGTATGGTATAAACATATCAGCTCCATGGTATAAACATATCAGCTCCATGGTATAAACATATCAGCTCCATGGTATAAACATATCAGCTCCATGGTATAAACATATCAGCTAGCATTCACTCATCACGGGTGTTTCTGTTGCTCAAAAATATAAGAATTCCTGCTCTGAACAGGGGCAACACTTCATAGATCTGAACTGTAATGTGGTGAACTGCTGTGACCTCTTTAATTCTTTTGTGATAGATGTTTTTAATCTACACTATGGAACTTTCGGAATAAAGCAATAACATTTCCATGGAGATAAGCAGGTGGCAGTCCCTACACTAGAAATTGCACCTTTAAAATGTGATTGCTGTACATTCGTGCTTCATAGTACAAGACTTATAACAACCACTGTAACAGAGCAATATTTTTTAGCTAATAACAGATAGAACCTCACATTGACTAAAATACATTCTCTCATTTTACCTGTGAAAGCCTGAAGGATCGCCATTGTAAGTGCCAGCCCATTCTTCCTATTAAAGAGACAGACAGATGCAGTTTTAAC